TTTCCTCTCCCGTGCAGGAATTAATGCACCTGACCTGATACGAAGGGACTGTTTCCCAAAATCTGAAACAGGCTAAACTTCCAGAAGGTCTGCTGGTGTTCATAAAACTGCCCTGGAAGATAAGTTCTGCCATAGGAAAATGCGATGGAGCCCTTCACTTTGCAGTGCCCTGCTGAGGCTGAAAGTAGGTGTGAGCAAACTAAGCCGTGTGAAGGCTGAGAATGGCTGTAAAGGGACTGAGGAATGAAGTGCATGGAGCCAAGGACACCGGAGGTTTGAATGTTGTCGATTATATTCGGGTTGAAATGTAGATCCCCGGGTGCGGAGGTTTAGGCACCTCTCTACTTGTGTGATCATCTCCTGTCTCCCCTAGCCCCTGGGTGTTAAGCATGGTGCCTGCTCCCCAGCCTGAGGAAGCTTTGGGACGCCGCAGGGGATGCCCACGCGTGCCACCAGCCTGCCCAGGGCCACTCCAGGGCAGGCTGTCCCTTCGGCTGGGAGCCCATTTGTCCCCAGCCCTCAGGGACCTGCAGGAGTGCAGCAGTGAAGGCTTTTTGAGAAGATGTCCCTGCTCATGGCAGGGGGGGTGGACGAGATGACCTCTAAAGGTCCCTTCCAGCCCAAAGCATCCTATGGCTCTATGTGGTGCCTTTGGTTCAGGGGCATAGGGGGGAGGTATGGTCCTGAAGAGCTTATTTTGGAGATCCTGAACAGCTTATTTTGGAGATCCTGATCCTCAAGCAGTTTGTGTGATGTTCCTTCACTCAGTCCATTAGAGGTAGGACGCAGATTTGAATCTATTAAATACCAAACCTCTTAATTGGCACCAAGCAGCTTGACTTCACCCTATTTCAGATCAAGGTGTGAGTCTGAACTACAGATTTATGGTGATTAGGCGTGGAAAAAACAAACCAAAACCACCACCCTTGCTGCAGAAGAGAATAAAGCCAGGAAGCACTGATGTTGCACCAAGAAACGAGCTGGAATGATTTTGTCGGGTGTTTGTGCGGTCCCTGTGCTACGGTTGTTAAACCTCTTGCTGCCCACTCGGGCTAGCTGTGCCGAAATTGGTGTGTAAAGGAAAACATACAGGGCCAATGTAAATCACCGTGAGAGGCATCTGAGATGAGTTCAGAAAGCTGTTTGAGCTCAGCTGCAGAGAGGGGCCCCATCGCTGTAATAAGCCTGTCCTGAGCTGCATGCTCCCCACTGAGCACAAAATCATCTTTAACCCTCCCAGAACTGGGAAGTCTCCTGGTATTACAAGTCCCTGTGTTGGAATCCTGTCCTGAAGCAGTTGATCAGAATTAGCCACTGTCTCAAAAAGCTGGAGGCCAGCGAGTGCTCGGGGAAGCCTCGCGGTGCCCGGGGAGCTCTGGCCACAAAGCAGCAGCCAGGGGAGAGCAAGTTTGAACAAGCTCAGAAGAAGGGGACGCTTTCTTGGCAGCGCCTCCGGTAACTCTGCTAATAGCTTCACTCCCTTCTCCCTACCCGACAGAGATGTAAAAGGAGTACCAAGCTGTAAGCCCACCTTAAATTTGAGGAGCCACTTTAGTGTGTAAGTGGCAGGGGGGTGGAAGTTCTGTGATGCTTAGGAAAAGCCCTGTGAATAACTGCCATAGAAAGGAACAGCAAAATAAGTTGGTTTTTGTTTTTAACAGTTCTTATTGGCAGGAAACTTGAGCTGGGAGTTGGAAAGCTGCTGGTGTTTGTTCCCACTGTTAGATCTTGCAAGATAAGCAGGGCTGGGATGGATGGGTCTGGCCGCTTTGCTGGGGCTGACAGCGTGGGGGCAGCTGCGGGCTCAGGCTCTCCGGTGCCCCAAGTCACCCAAACCTGGGGCATGGGGAAAAAGATGGCCTCGGGTCCTGCAGGATGGGTGCAGAATTCATGGGTGCCCGTCTGCCCTTGGTGCTGGTGTGCCGAGCCGTGCTCTGCCGGCCGCCCTGCACTGAGCACAGCAGCTTCCCGTGCCGGATTTCTTGTTCGTGGAGGCCAGAAAGAGCGCGGCTTCTGCTGGGGTCTGCTCCCTCGCTGGGTCTTGGGAGCGCTTAGAAACGCGCCTGAAGCCCGCCGCGGGGGAGGGAGCGGTGTAAGCAGACATATCCCCTTTCGGACTGGCAGGAAAGCCATGCCAGGAAACATTTTGTCTCCTGCGCTGCCTTTGCTCGTCATACAGGATTTGCTGGTAAAATAGGAGATGCCCGTCGGCTTGGTGGAACCGCTCCAAGGACCGTGGGGCTGGTACTGAAAATCCAGGCTGAATGAAAGGGGAGGCAACAGCAAAATGCATGGTGTGCTGGAAATAATAGGAACAGAACAAAGAAAAGTTGCTTGGTGGGTGTAGGCAGACCTGTAGCCTCCTGCTGTCACGGGAGAAATGAGCTTAAGGAAACTCCATAGGTACAAAGAACAGACTGTTTGGTGCTTGCAGAGAAACCCCGCTCCCTTCCAGGGCCCCCAGCAGCGGGGGTGGCCGGGGGTCCTGCACGCCCAGCACTTCCCAGCCCTGGTGGCAGCGGGGGGGTGTTCCTTGGGACACGGACCGTGGCTGCCCGGCAGGAGGTCCCCTCCTGTCCCTGCCCCGTCCCTGGGGCCCTCCTGCAGCTCCGGCACTGTTAGCGTCCTTCTGCTGAGAGGGGGCCTCTGTGTCCCCCCGCCCGCCTATGAGAAACTCGTTGACTTGAATCGGAGCGTTTGTAAATGAAGCTGTTGTCTGAGCACGGGGTGGGACATTCCCGAGCGTGCTGGAGGGGACGCGCCACGGTGCCAGTGCTCCGGTCGGGCACAGCAGCGCTCTAACCGTGACGCCTGCGCTGCTTCACGCTGGGTCTTGGTGTTGTAAAAGCCGCAGCCAGGCTCTGCACGGCTTGCTGCAAGACGCCCAGCCTTGCAGCGGGGCTCTGCCCAAGGCAATCCGGTCGCTCCCTAAGAGCGTCCCTTCTAGGGAGTGACAGAGCACAGAGTCGGCGGCTGTTAGCCCGACCTGGGCTTAAATGGGAGCTTAAATAACAGCCCTTCGGCTGTCACCTTCAGGGGAGAGCCTTAAAGCTTGCTCTGAACTAACGGCAGGATGACTGCAGGCACAGAGAGTGAACCCAGGGAGTCTTGTGTGCAATATGCATAGATGATAATTAATCTTCAGATTAGCCAAACCTAATTTTATCTCTCTGGACCGTTACAAATTGAGTGCACTGTGCTGAAATCTGCAGTGTGACATCTGCCTTGCGTGTAGATGTTTATATTAAAAAAAGGGTGAGAAAAGACCAGAGCTCCTCATCGCCACATGAAATAGCATCTTTGAGGCGCTGCGGTTCTGCGCTATGGGATGTCTTGGCTCTTTCTTGGAGAGTGTTTGGGTTCTAGGGGAGGTCGGGTTTAGCCTGGGGGGTCCCAAAGGCCAGATGCTCGGCTGACGGGGGGTGGTGCCATTCTTACCTGCCCGAGGAGCTGGTTGGAAGAAAGTAGACTGTGTTCCAGGTGAAGGCTGGCAAATTGATTACAATGACTTTTAATTACATTACAGCTTGACACACTGTCTATAGGTAGCACGGGTCCAAATGCTTGCACAGGACGAGGGGCGATAGACTCGGAGGCGTTGCTGCCGCGGCTGCCCTGGGATGCCTGGGTCCTGCTGCGCAATTGAGACGTTTTTCCCAGCTCTCTTCTCGAGCTGCAAGCATTGCTTTCCCTTCAGTTCAGCCTTTCCCTGCTCTTCCACCTCGCTGCACTGTTTCTGCAGCTTCATTTCGGGCTCCTGTCTTTGCCGGGCCTTCCGAGCTGATACAGCTGTAAAATCTGCCTTTGGTATTTTTAAGTTTCCCCTCACAGAACAAGAGGTCAAACAAAAACAACCTCAGCCAGGCAGCTTAGCAGTGCTGGGATTAAAAGTTTTACTTCCACTGCCCTCCTTGGGGGTGCCGAGCAGGAGCACGGTAGGTCTGTCCGGCTGTGTGGAAGCGGGAAGCGTTGAGGGGCGTGCTTGGAGATCATAGAATCATAGAATGTTTTGGGTTGGAAGGGACCCCTAGAGGTCATCTAGTCCAACCCCCCTGCAGGAGCAGGGACACCGCTAACTAGATCAGGCTGCTCAGAGCCCCATCCAACCTGGTCTTGAAAGTTTGGAAACTTTCCAACTTTTCCAACTTTTTGGAGATTGCGGGGTCTGTTCTGCCAACCGTGCTTCCTACCGGCTCTGGGGGTAAGGGTAAGGAGTTGGAAAGACGCCGTGACTCGGTGTCTGAGAAGTGAAACACCCATCCCGTGCACTGCCCATGGCTGCCTGGTCCTGCCCGGCCCCGCGCTCACTCCTCTGCCTCTCCCTTGCAGCGCTGCG